ATACAGGAGCTGGATTCGGGAACTCAGGATCCAGATCAAAAGCAGGAGGTCAGATGGGGTCCTCCCTGCACACCGGCCATTGCAGAAAAGAGCAAAACTCTCGTGATCACTCAATTTATACTAAATGTGACGTATATGGGATGGAATACTCTCGTTGGTCACCTGTCCTGTCTATTACCCCCCGGAGGTGCAACCTTTTACTTCCTCGTGACCCCTCTCACTTCCCAGCACCCCCAGCGTGGCACACAAGAGCCAGCAGTGGCCTTGGGCACTGTAGGAATAAGTATCAGCAAGAGCCTGTCTGCATCCCAGTCCCAGGCAGTAACTGTAAACATCAGGTGTTATCACTGCCAGTAGCACACACTGTCTGCAAAAACATGCTGCTGACTTCAGAAAGTGCAGCCTTTTAGAAGAGACTAAACTGGAAAGCAAAAATCACTAAACAGGACTGGTTTTCCTTTAGCTCAGACCAGGACAATTGTGTAGAACACCACTGTGAAAGTTCCTGTAGAGTTAACTTTGCTGTTGGAGGTGTTGAGCTCCACGTTCTGCCCAAAGCTGTGGTGGCCAGTCCCACTCTCTTATTTATTGATAAATGGCCTGGAGAACTGGCCAAATCTCCACTATAGACAAGGTACCCAATGTGATTTTTCTAGTAAAATTTAGGATTGTTTTGCTGTAGGGTGTTGAAGGGACTGGTTTTGCTTTTGAAACTCCAGAAAGCCAGAGGTAAATTAAAAGGAGTATGAACGAAAACTTATTTGAGGCTATTGATTTCCTCTTTTCTCAAACAGGGTAAATATATACCCCAAATCCTATGCAGTACTTCACTAACCCCTTTTTAAGAAAAGAAGGAATTGACAAGTGGTGCACAGCACAACGTATGCTACATGTGCAGAGTAACAGAGGAATAAAACAATGATGCCTCCACCACAATCTGCAGGGCATGAATGTTGAATTTAGGACAGAGTCTCATCTACCACCAGCAGAAGATATTTACCCAGACTGCCTGCCAGTTCAGTTGGCTAGATTTATATGTTGGTACGATCCAGTATTGTACAATAAATCACTCCCCTAGCATCTGTTAATGACCCTAAATAGATGAGTTAATTAGAAGCTTCTGGAACCTGGGATGTTTATGAATCATTGAAGTCAATATGAATATGATACAACTTGAAGAATAAATACATTCTGGTGGTGAAAGGAAAATAGGATGTCCAGAGAAGTCCTTCTCGTTTGTTTTTAGTGACACTGATACAGTGTGAATGAGTTCTCCATCAGCTTTAGAGTTTTCCTGGAGTTTCTTGAACACGATCTGTCAGATTCAAGATGAAGAACATCGTAACAATGCCATTATTTATACTCATTGCATCTTTCATATAGAAGGCTCACAGGCAGCTACTGTATATTTCATACCTCTGTGTGGGTGTAATATCTCACACAGGGAGCAGCCAGAGATATGGGGAATGAACAAATAAGAGCCTCAGCAGGTGTTATCATTTACAATTTCAGG